TTCTTGTAAGCGTGATGCGAGTAATTCAGATTTTTCTTTTGATAAGCTCAAATCACGACACAGATCATTTAGGGCCAATTGATTCATCAGGTTCGGTTTTTGACTCGCTGATCCTGAATAAACGCTGGGATTTGAATCCGAAAATACACTTCCTTGCGAACTAATTTCTTCTTCTTTCAGTGCTGGTGGTTCGCGTTTTGGGTACACAGAAGAATGTGGTGCAGTTGTTGTCACTGATGATACATTGGCATAAACAGCTTTGCAATTCTTTCTTCCTTGGATTTTGGTTAGGCAGTAGCAATCCGTCGCATGATCAATCAGGTTTCTCCATTCGCACGGCTTTCAGGAAGATAAATACTTCTTTTTGCCTTTGCTGAATGCGCTTAATCGTACAAAACATATGGCACATACAGAGTTTGGAGTCCAATGTTTATCCGGATTCTTGGCTTGAATTCCAAAATATTGTTCATAAGCAGTTAAAATGTTTGTGGTTATTTTTTTCCGAGTACTTTGTTTGAATATGTACAAACCACAAATAAAGCAAAACTTATCCGGTGAGTGATATCACATTTTGGGCTTTTTTCCTTAGAGGAAAGACGTCATTCTAAAATACGAGAGAACTCAAAGGAACAACTGTCCAACAAAAGTACGAAACGAAATGCGATGACGTTTGTCAACTACCTAACGGGGCAGGTAAATAAAGCGGAAGTTCAATGTCGCTCAAGCAGTAACACATTTTACCGACTGGAGATATTTCTGTTCCCCCGTACAACGTTTACTTTGATTCGGCATATAAATTAACATAAAATAAACTTTTTTGTGTTTTTTACCATTTTGGTAACATTCCGTGGATATGGATTCAACCCCAGCCCTGCTTCATAATTTATTTCTGTTTAGGCGTAAAAAGGGAAATTTGAATGTCACAAGCTGAATATGCATCACTTTACAAAATACGTTATAACTTCAACATTTTTCGCCCAATTTAGACGATCTTTAGCTTGACTGGTTTGTTATAAAATTATTATGAACGTCGATAAATTTCAATAACTTCCAAAAACGCTCAAAAAATGACAATTTTTTTAACTTTGAACGGCTGCTGTGGAAGTAATAATCCCTAGATTACTAATAACGACATATTGCTGTAAAGGAGAGGTCTGTACCTTTCTAAAAATGTATATCGTTGCTTCATAACATTAACTTTCTCGGCGATTTCGGTGAAAAACTGAAATAAGACACGAAAAACACGTTTTTGCGGAAATCGCGAAAGCGCTTCTTGAGAAAAATAATTGAGTATCATTTTCGTTTTCAGCAACCCCAAATTGTGCTAGAAAGTACTTTTTTATCGAGGTACTCGTTTGAAACTGAAAATTTGTAAACTAGTGTTATCTAAGTCACATTACCGAAACGATAAGTAGATTAGACTGTACAAAATTAATAAGATTACGAATAGGTCATTGGAAGTTGTCCCACGGCCACCTGATGGGTCTCGAGAACCCATCCTCTTGCGATTGCATACTCGACGCCACAGCTAATATCATCTTACACCACATATGCGACTGCCCTAAACTATGTGCCTCCCGATACCTTTTATTCCAAAATAACAACCCATTATCCCTACTATCCAATCCCACGCTTACCAGTATTGAAAAAAATTTAAAATTTTTAAAATTGGCCAGACTTTATTATTTGATATAGTTCTTTCACGTAAGCTTTATATGTACGAAAGCATTTAAATTAACATTATATTGATAAACACACTTACATAAATAGGCATTCTATCACCACCCAAGCAGTTGAATAAATAAATAATAAATAAAAATAAATAAATAAAAATATCTTGAAATGTGAGACGAATCGGACCATAAACACGATTTTTAGTAAAAACTCGACTCCAACGCCACCTGGCGGCCCTTTTTCACAATGGTATTGTTTTCCCCATTGTCAATACACATCTAAAATATGATGCAAATCGGACCATAAATACGGGTTTTACTAATAACTCGACTCCAGCGCTACCTAGCAGTTGTTTTAATAGTTATTCTGCAATTCGGAAGGTAGACAAATTCAAAAAACAAATATCATAAAAATTGGTCCAGCCGTTCTTGAGTTATAAATAGTGTAACTAACACGACTTTGTTTTATATATATATATATATATATATAGATATAGATATAGATATAGATATAGATATAGATATAGATATA